TGTCTGAAATGGTGTAGACCAGGGCTTTTCAACCAGTGGTATGGGTACCACCTGTGGTACATTGGCACCTGGCAGGTGGTACGCGGCCATCCTAGAAAAGTGGTAGCGGGGGAGAGGAATGAGCTGAACCGGGGGCAGCACCACACAAGCCTGAGCGAGAGATGGCTGGAGCTGCAGGGCTGTCAAGGCTCGGCAGAAGCACCAGGATCAGTGCCACTTTCCAGCTGATCGGCGTTTCTGGGCTGTCAGGGCTCAATGGAAGCGCCAGGATCAGCACCAGGCTCCAGCTGGAGCTCGGCGCTGATCCTGGTGTTTCTGCTGAGCTCAGAAGAAGCGCCGATCAGCTAGAAAGTTGCAGCATCCCCAGGATCTTGTGATTTACATTCAGATGCTTGGCAACCGATTCATATTTATGACGGTCACAGTGTCCCAGGGACTAGACCAGGGCTTTTCAACCTTTTCACCCATTGTACCACTTTTAGAATATGGCAACATCCAAGTAGCACCAGTCGCCTAGTAAGGTGTCAAAAACTTGATGACCAAAAGAAAAAAGAAAAAAGTGATAAAATACAGGTAGTCCTTGACTTACAACAGTTTGCTTAGTGACTGTTCAAAGTTACAATGGCACTGAAAAAAGTGCCCCCCCCCCCAAGCCACAGCCGAGCAAGACACCTGCCTGCCTGCCCGGCCGCATTCTTCCTCCTGTCCGAGGTTTTCATGGTTGTCAGCATTTCTGTTGAGGATTGGCAGTGGGGGTGGGATGGGGGGTGTTTGGTTTTTATTCCCTTCTGTCTGCTGGGTGGTTGCAGCAGGTTTTGGTCCCTTCACATGACCCTGGGACACTGTGACCGTCATAAATATGAATCGGTTGCCAAGCCTCTGAATGTAAATCACAAGACCCTGGAGAGGCTGCAACATTCCAGCTGATTGGTGCTGAGGAATTCTGGGAGTTGAAGTCCATGAGTCATAAAAGAGCCAAGGTTGCCTACCCCTGACCTAGAGCAATGGTTCTCAACCTTTTTAATGCCGCAACCCCCAACCGGTCGTAAGTGGAGGACTACTCAACCGGTCGTAAGTGGAGGACTACTCAACGGGTGCAGCACCGTTTGCAGAATAGGACTTTTGGTGGGCTCAGCAGGGCAGAGACAGCCTGGACAACTCCTATTGGCTTTTGAAAGCTAATGGAATTAGACTCTATTCAAAGGAGTCTATTCTATTGGCTTTCAAAAGCCAATAGAGCAGTGGTTCTCAATCTTTCTAATACCGCGACCCCATAATACAGTTCCCCATGTTGTGGTGACCCCCAACCACTTATACATCACCGGGTGCCAGGGGCGTGGCCAAAGAAAAGGGGGAAAAAATGGCGGACAGCCTTGTTTGGCGACCCCCATGAAATAGTCGTTCGACCCCAAATGGGGTCCCGACCCACAGGTGGAGAACCCCTGACCTAGAGGATATACAGCATGCTTTCTGCAGGAAAGGCTGCTGCCAGTGACCTTAAAATAGCACAAATTATAAAATAAAACCCGTTGCTTCTCTGCTGTAATACGCAACACTTAGGGAACTGCATGCAACTCAAGCGGGGCCTTCTCCGTTATGACTTGCATGGTTTGCTCTCCAGAATCAAATGGAGCTAGGGGGGGGGGGAGGTCTACAGCAAATTGAAATAAACACATCGACACATATATTTACATAGGCATGTATGTGTTTATTTCAATTTACCATCGCTACCCGGTTCCAACGGTGGAGCGGGCCAATAAAATCCCCCCAAACCAATAAAACTTAAAACCACCCTGACGGCCCTAGAGTACGAAAACAATCTCAAGATGGTACAAAGCAAACAAAACAAAACAAACAAAAAAGGCAAAACACAGTCCCCCACCCAAATGGGTTTCGGAACACGTTAACCCCCGAGGCCAGGGACCAAAACCCAGTTTTAAGAGCTTGCTGGAACCCTACAAAAAAAAAAGAGGGCACCAAATTATATCCCTGGATTTTCTGCTCCTGCAGTCTTTGGTGCTTTCTGATCTTGGTTGTTTTCTTGCAGATGTTTCATGATCCAATTAATCAGTGTTTTCTCAACCTTGAGCATTTTAAGGCATGTGGACTTCAACTCCCAGAATTCCACAGCCAGCAACGCTGGCTGTGGAATTCTGGGAGTTGAAGTCCACATGCCTTAAAATGGTCAAGGTTGAGATAACACTGAATTAAGTAATATTACCAGAATGGAGGGGGGCTCAGCAGCAGCAGCAGCAGCAGGAGGAGGAGGAGGAGGAGGAGGAGGAGGAGGAGGAGGAAGAGGCTGTGACAAAGAAGGCCTGTCAAACAGGGATTTATAAAGTAATGACTGGCAGCTTGAATTATACTCAGAAGCCAACTGGCAACCAACAATTCATCCAAGCTGAATTCCTTACTGCAGGGCTTTTCAACCTTTTCACCCATTGTGCCACTTTTACGATACGGCAACATCCGAGGACCACCAGTCGCCTAGCAAGGTGTCAAAAACATGATGACCAAAAAAAAAAAAAAAAAAGGGGAAAAAGTGATGACGTACAGGTAGTCCTCGACTTACAACAGTTCGCTTAGTGACTGTTCAAAGTTACAATGGCATTGAAAAAAGTGCCCCCCAAGCCACAGCCGAGCAAGACACCTGCCTGCCCGCCCGGCGGTGCTCTTCCTCCTGTCCAAGGTTTTCATTGTTGTGAGCATTTCTGTTCAGGATTGGCAGTGGGTGTGGGGGGGGGGTGTTTGGTTTTTATTCCCCCCCCCCGTCTGCTGGGTGGTTGCAGCAGGTTTTGGTCCCTTCCCATGACCCTGGGACACTGTGACCGTCATAAATATGAATCGGTTGCCAAGCATCTGAATGTAAATCACAAGACCCTGGAGAGGCTGCAACATTCCAGCTGATCGGCGCTTCTTCTGCGCTCAGCAGAAGTGCCAGGATTGGTGCTGCTTTCCAGCTGATTGGTGCTTCTTCAGGGCTCAGCAGAACCACCAGGATCAGCGCTGAGCTCCAGCTGGATCCTGGCGCTGATCCTGGCTCTTCCACTGAGCCCTAACAGCCCCGAAGAAGCGCCGATCAGCTGGAAAGCGGCATTGATCCTGGCGCTTCCGCTGAGCCCTGACAGCCCTGCAGCTCCAGCTGTCTCTCGCTCAGGCTTGTGCGGTGCTGCCCCCGGTTCAGCCCATTCCTCTCCCCAGCTACCCCTTTTCTAGGATAGTCGCGTACCACCTGCCAGGTGCTGATGTACCACAGGTGGTACCCGTACCACTGGCTGAAAAGCCCTGCCTTATTGTTCTACAGACATTTATAGTCAATATTTTGCCGTGCGGAGGACTCTACTATCTGCATCTACAATACACTCTGGGAACTATTAGAGAGGGACTGTCTTCACCCTCTTTCTCTCACACCCATGGTATCTGGGCTAGAGTCGTCTTTTACTCCTCGGGAACGCCTTCCCCCCCTCCTGGGGATCCACCTCCTCGTTCAGATTCTATCACACTTACTCTATCAGTAGTGTTAAGACTTGAGCAAGGACACATCTTTAATCCGGGCTGGGCCACTGCATTTTGAATCAGCAACGGCTTCCGGGTGAGGTCTACGTGGGGCCGCCTTTGACGATCACTATAACCCGGTCACTAAGTGACCAAGGCATGAGTAAATTGTTTGAAGGTCTTTCCAAAGAGAGCAACTGCCTCTTTGCCCAGCTGAACCTATGCCAAGGCCCTCCTATTCCATTCCATTCTGGTCCAAACAGCCTCCAGACCAGAATCAGTACATCCGTGTTGTTGTTGAATACATACACCTTTAAGTATGATGGTTGTATCTACCCTTCACCTAGCTTTGTTTGATAAAGTATCTTTCAAAGGAGCTGGACCTGAGTACTCTCCAGAATTTGTAACACGCATGACGTTAGGATTTTCAGCAAAAGGGTATGCAGAATAATGCATGTTTACCATACCAGTTGCAATGTATGGCTGTGAAAGTTGGACCCTAAGAAAGGCCAAGCGCCAAAGAATGGAGGCCTTTGAACTCTGGAGCTGGAGAAGACTCCTGCGAGTCCCCCGGACTGCAAGGCGATCCAATTGGTCAGTCCTGGAGGAGATCAACCTTTAGAAGGCCAGATCCTGAAGTTGAAACTCAAGGACTTTGGCCACCTAATGAGAAGGAAAGACTCACTGGAGAAGAGCCTGATGCTGGGAAAGATGGAGGGCAAGAGAAGAAGGGGACGACAGAGAATGAGGTGGCTGGATGGAGTCACTGAAGCAGGAGGCGTGAGCTTAAATGGCCTCCAGAAGATGGAGGACAGGAAGGCCTGGAGGAACGTGGTCCATGGGGTCGCGATGGGTCAGACATAACTTCGCAACTAACACCACCACCATATTCCCTTTCATTTAAGCTTTCCACCATACTCATATGTTCCTAAGACTATTATTTATGCTTTATAAATAATTATTCATATTAGATCTTTTGGTTTTCATTTGGGTATTTCATCACTGTATATACTATTTTTTTTTTTAAGAAGGCCAGGACACACAGAATCAGATCCCGGTGCATAATGATCCAAAAGAAAAACTCCACTTTTAAAAAAAATAATAATAAATGAATCCATATTCTCTTCTGGCAATACTTCCCCATTCATCCTATGTACTGCTTCCCTGCTTGTCATTTTAAACCCACTTGGGGGGAGGGGGGAATATATCCAGATGTTCTCGATACTTAAGTAAGAAGAAAAGTATGACATCCTCCAGAACCAGTATTGACCACTGAGACAAATTCTTATCGTAAATCTGCAGCTTACGACACTGAAGTGATTGTTGCAAAGGGGGGGATGACAATTAAATATGGCTAGCTGGCTGAACAGCCAACATGCCCTAGTAAATAGGTACTGCCATAACCAAAATGGGGAAGTAAAAAGGAAAACAAGATTGCACCCTTGCTGTGTACTTAATTAAATTACAGCCCTTTTTTTTTTTTTTTTGCTTTGGAAAGTGCTTACCTTGGTATTGTAACACATTTTGTATTGCAGTTTTGGGTAGTGATGGCTTTTTCAAGCTCGTCCAATTGACCCGTCTTCTTGAGCTTCTTGACCAAACTTTTCACTGCTTTTTCACACCATTTTTCTTCCTGTCCATTCTGCTCGCCTCCACCGGCTCCTCCTGAACCACTGGCAGACTTCTTCCACCCTAACAATCTCTTCACAACCGGCGGGGTAAAAGGCAATATAGATGACATGGCCCAGCTAGAGGACGCCTAACACAATTCAGCTGCCTTTCACGACCTAGGGAGGGGGGGAAAGAAAGCCGTTAGAAGGTTTAAATAAAAGAATTCCCTATTCTTCCATTTTATCCAGACAAAATGGAGACCTCCCACACTAATACTGTTCTTTGATAGGTGCTTATTTCTAACTATAAGATATAATAATAATAATAATAATAATAATAATAATAATAATCGTCATCATCATCATCATAAGCTGCTGCAAGAAGATTGCACAGACTGACTACAAGCAGCGACATGACAAAGTGGCAGCAATGGTGCATTGGAAGATCTGCAAGAAATATCATTTGCCTGCAAGCAAGAACTGGTGGGATCATAAAATAGAGAAAGTCATAGAAAATGATAAAGTTAAACTGCTCTGGGACTTCAGAATTCAAACAGACAAGCGCCTGCAACATAACATCCCGGACTTAACAATTGTCGATAAGAAAGACAAAAAAGTCTGGATAGTGGAGGTGGCAGTGCCTGAAGACAGCATAATAGACGAGAAAGAACTGGAGAAGATCACAAAATACAAAGACCTACAAATAGAAATAGAAAGACTGTGGCAAAAGCAAGCAAGGGTAGTACCAATAGTCATAGGCTCCTTGGGTGCAATCCCAAAACAACTGGAGCACCACTTGAACACCATTGGCATTGACAAATTCGCTATTAGTCAATTGCAAAAGGCGGCCTTATTAGGAACTGCTTCCATCCTGCGACGATATCTGTAATACCATCAAACATCCACATCTGCCTATCCCAGGTCCTGGGTAAGGACTCGATAGGTAGACAAAATGCCAAATCCAGTCTGAACATCTGGCTGACTGTGCAATGATGATGATGAGGATCATCATCATCATCATCATCAATAATAATAATAATAATAAAGTTGGAAGGTACCTTGGAGGTCATCTAGTCCAACCCCTGCTCAGGCAGGAAACCCTATACCATTTCAGACAAATCTAATTTGTTTCCATGTAATAAATAGACTAGACCGAAAGCATCTGGACCAAAGTCACTCTGCTGGCTTCCAAAGATGAGGGTGCATTAAAATCTAGGACTCTGTATTTGTTGACCGCTACAGCTTCCTGGTTCTCGCTAGACTAGGCTTCTGCAAATTTGCTGCCCTGAAGATGTGCACATTTCAACTCCTAGAATTTTCGAGCATCAGCTATTTTGGCTAAAAAAAAAAAAAAAAAATTCAGAGAGCTGGTCTGCATCTTTAGGAGTTATCCAGGCTGAGTAGTTAAAGGTTAAGACAAGCTAAATAGGCTACTATTCGGTTATAAGATGCCTTCTTTGCTTGATATCAGAAATCTATCTTTATCAATTCTCAGAGAGCACATCCTGTTCCCTTCTAGTACTGATGATGTTACCAAGTTGGGTAATAAAATGTCTGCAAGAAAAAAAACCAAGCTCGGAGAGCACCAAGGACCCCCACAGTTCAATCCTCTGTTTACAGATACTTACAGGTGATCAGTGCATTTTCTATCCTAAAATATTGGAATTTTAATGTATCACTTGCAATACTAGATGCAATGCATAGAATATTACAACGAAATAAATGTACATAATTGTTTAAAGCGTAGCATTTTGATGTATGGTACATATATAACTGTCAATCCTAATAATGTGAATTGAAATCTATACAAAAGGGAAAACATTGCATCACGTTTTGATTAGTGGGGGGGGGGAAATCAATCAATGTTTCTTGAATCCCATCTTTAATATCTAGAAATATTACTTTTTCAATTTTCCAGTATAATTATTTTGCTATTCGTAAAACCTGACAGATCCAAAGTTTCTCAAAAATGGTCACGTTCCACAATTTTGGATTATAATTCAACACAGCGACCGTATATTTTTAAAATAGAATCCTTCCACAAAGTTAAATATTCATATGGCTCGTCATCAAAATCCAACCTATAAAGGTGAGTGTATTTCATATTCTTCTCCTGCAATTCCAGCAGTCAGAAGAACTACTGGATGCCCAAATCTCTGCACATAGGCAATATATGCAGAGAAGCCTCTTCAGATGAAATGAATCCCTAGGACGGGCTTCCAGGGAACTCTCAAATTATTCAATATTTAACTCACATTTTTACTGTAATAGGGGAAAAATTGCACACGTGCATTCTTGCGTAGGCATAAACCACGATTTTTAGACAATCTAATTATTTTGATCGTGTCAAGATGTCTTAGAATTTCAGTCAGAAGAAGGATTGCATTCAACCATTTGTCCTACCGTCGCTATGTTCCATCGTACATCAAGTAAAATAATCACAACCAGGACCAATGGCTGGGAATAATTAGTGAAAGGGAAGAATGGAGAGAAGGAATGGAAAGTGAGTAAACTGACATGTCTATTATATACACAGAAAAATGCAATCCTCTAAGATTCACAATATCGTACAGAACAAGCAAGAATCTTTTTGCGAAAGATAAGCAAAACTGTGCCCCTATTTAGGATTTGGGGATCCAGACTTCAGCTTAGCAAAGGAATCCTTCACATTCTCCAAAGTTCAGTTCAGCCAAAAGTTCCTACAATCAGCCGGGGTGACAATGACTCATGCACCGTCTCTCAGCCCTGGTAAGAAAGCAGTAGCAAACTGTTTCTGAAAATAATGTTGAGAAAACTGCAGGGATTAACCCAGGCATTTGTCAAGGCATATATGTATGTCTACATGAACTGTTTTCAACAAATGTCTTATGTATGTTGGAAAATTATTCACAAGTTCGAATGCCATTTCAAAGAATGGCAAGGAAAACCGTGGCATTAATACCTACAATAATGCCAAGAATAGAATGGAATGGAATGGAATAGAAAATGGAATAGAAAATGGAATAGAAAATGGAATAGAATAGAAAATATGGAATACACTAACTAGACTAGACTAGAATGAAGGAATGGAATGGAATGGAATAGAATAGAAAATATGAAATAGACTAACTAGACAAGACTAGAATAAAGGAGTGGAGTATAGTATAATAGAAATATATGAAATGGAATAGAATATATGGAATGGAATGGAACGAAAGTACAGTAATTTTTCTTACAAGTAAACCTATCGTCCTAAAAAAACCCACACACATTCATAATCAATTTAATATATATTCCATTAATCACCCCTTTTTCTCTTGCTTCTAACTCACAATCTTGTAAGAAAATTATTATGTAATGTTGAGTTAATCTAATAAGATGATTTGTTTGTTTGATAACATGGATGTTATTAGTTATGACAATTAATTGGATGAAATTTGAATTTTGTTTAATAGATTGAAATGATTTAAGGTCTGATTTTGATCTTGAAGGTGTACCCCCAGGGTTTTAGTTACATTTCTGTTTTAACATTTTTTTTAGTTGTTCCTATTCCATGCCCCCTGCCCCCAGAGTCACATCCATGTGACAGGCAGCCATATAAATTTGATAGATTAAAAAACCTACAATAATGCAATACAATAAATGAGCTACAATGTGCTTGTATTCCTAATACACGGATCATTTAACAATCTCCTTGCTTAGCAAGAGGGATTCTGGTCCCAATTGTGCTTGTTGAGGACTCCATTTAGTCAAATCCTATTAATATCACTTTACAAGGCCTTGGTAAGGCCACACATGGAATTGGGCATCACGATGTAAAAAAGATGTTGAGACTCTAGAAAGAGTACAGAGAAGAGCAACAAAGAGGATCAGGGGACTGGAGGCTAAAACATAAAGAACGGTGGCTGGAATTGGGGATATCTAGTTTAATGAAGAGAAGGACGAGGGGGGACAGGATAGCAGTGCTGCAATATTTCAGAGGCTGCCCCAAAAAAGAGGGAGTCAAGCTATTCTCCAAAGTGCCTGAAGGCAGGACAAGAAGCAATGGATGGAAACTCATCAAGGAGAGAAGCAACCTAGAACTAAGGAGAAACTTCCTGACAGTAAGAACAATTAATCAATGGAACTCCTTGCCTCCAGAAGCAGTAAATGCTCCATCACTGGAAGTTTTTAAGAAGAGACTGGACAGCCATTTGTCTGAAATGGTATAGGGTTTCCTGCCTGAGCAGGGGGTTGGACTAGATGATCTCCAAGGACCCTTTCAACTTTACTATTATTATTAAATCAATGGCTTGGCTGACCCCTTCTTAGGCTGTAAAATACATGATGCTGCAGTCACAATTATTTTAGATTTTAAACAGCTTCCAGGCAGCATGAAGAGCTGAGAACATCTTGGGTTTTTTAAAGTTTCTTTTTCACCAGTCCCCTCATATTTTAGGCATTTCCTCTTAAGTCAAAACTAACCAGCTGTTGGAATGGGCTGGTCATTTCCCACTTTGCTCTATTTCTGAGAATTGCACGATAAGGCTTTTGGCAACAACTCCCCAAGTTGTGCAACATGCCACCCGTTGAAATTCACCGGAGGAGGAGGAGAATAAAGCAAATACTACGGAAATACTTCAGGGCTGGCCTTAAAGCATGGTTTAGTTCTTCAGGTCTAAGGAAGGCACTGTCCTCAACATGAACAACCGTGTGTGTGTGTGTGTGTGTGTGTGTGTGTGTGTGTGTGTGTGTACACACGTATATGTATATATGTTGCTGGAATTGGGTATGTCTAGTTTAATGAAGAGAAGGACAAGGGGAGAAATGGAAACAGTCTTCCAGGATCTCAGGGGCTGCCCAAAGAAGAGGCAGTCAAGCTATTCTCCAAAGCACCTGAAGGGAGGACAAGAAGCAATGGATGGAAACTAACCAAGGAGAGAAGCAACCTAGAACTAAGGAGAAACTTCCTGACAGTGAGAACCAGTGGAACGACCTGCCTCCAGAAGCGGTGAAAGCTCCAACACTGGAAGTTTTTAAGAAGAGACTGGACAGCCACCATTTGTCCAAAATGGTGTAGGCTTTCCTGCCTGAGCAGGGGGTTGGACTAGATGACCTCCAAGGTTCCTTCCAACTTTATTATTATTATTAATGAAGAGGAGGACTAAAGGGTGACATGATAGCCATGTTCCAATATCTCAGGGGCTGCCCCAAAGAAG